CATCTACTCATACATACCGGCAATCCTTCTCTTCAGTCATTTCCTGCTCAGATTTACTTAGAAGAGGCCTTAAGTCTTCTGATGTGCTTAAAAGCTTAATTAATCACGACTACCACAATATACAAATAAAGAAAAGAAAAATTGCCTTCTGAAGCTGTGGAATAACTTTATCCTTCAAAGCTTTCGTTAGATATCTTAAAAGCATCATAAGGTAAACATACAAGATGAAACTTTTTGAGGTTTGGTTATATCTTTTTGGGTACTTCCAATATTTTGAAAAAGTCATTTCTGAGATGTGACTTAATTTATCTTCATAACTGCCATTTATTAGCATAAATAAACACATAAAGTTTGCTTTACTGATTTCCACCGGCTGTGTACACAGGGGAAAAAAAGTGTATTCCCTCTGGCACACAAACAGTAACCACAGAGCTAGAGAAATCAAGCAAATCACATGAACTGAGCAGACAAACTGATGGGCAAGGGAGAAATGATGAGGGTAAAAGTTCACATTTCTTTCCATTCCTGATAGATTAAGTGAATGTGCAGAATAAGTACAATGATCAGTATAAACTGGACCAAGCCTTTGCTGTATCATCACTCTATAGCTGGGGTCCCCACCCTGGACTGTGGACCAGCACTGGAACTGGGCTGTGAAAGCCAGTGAAGTCCCATCCACAAACCTGTGGGATCCGGTTAGTGCACAAAACCATATTCCCCCCCCCCAGTCCGTGGAAGAACCACCCTCCACAATACGGGTTTTTGGTGCCCAAAAGGTTGTGGGCCACTGCTCTATAGGAAATGGATTAGCTCTGATATCCCTACCCTTAGGAGAAATCTGCTTTCAATAAGCATAATTATTTTTTTTCTTATGTATCATACCTTCCTTAGGTGCCAGCAGTACTTTATTGCATGATTCACCGTTTTACTTTAAACTGGGAGTTTTTTTTCTTTTGTACATTTAGAATTTGCTCTCCAATAGAAAAGAACCAAGGACTCCCTAGAATCTGATCAATACAATTTATTGCAGGCTTGTAAAATTTTAGAGTTGGAAGTGTATTGCTTCTTTTGGCATGCTACTTAAGAAATAACACAGTGTTCCTGCCTTAATATAGAAAGGGCTGTCTAAAAGCTGGCCTCCCGTGCCCAGAGAGGGATTGCTGTCCAAGGTTACTGCAGCTTCCTCTTATGCAAGTCACCGCCAGTGGATATCTTGATTGCAGTGAGATGGGGAGATTGGATGTATTACTGGTACAAAAGGAGGGTTTTATATAGAGTGATCTCTGAATATCTTCTATCTCTTTTGACATTCTTCTCTGAATGTCAAAATAACCTTGGGAAGATTATATTGTTCCTTTTCAATAGACTTCATTAAACAGATTTTGATTATCAGCTTGCTGCAGGAATGACTCGTATTTCATTTTTTCCCCCAAAACCATAAGACCTTATTAGGAACTTTATGGGATCATGGAGCACTGATATTCATGATAAGAGTGTGATGGTGTACCAACTTTTTTCTTGTGTAAAAATATATCTCAATAGCAAACATCAAAATCATGGGAAGCGTCTCAGTTTGGGATACGTTCTCAACAGCACTACTCCCATTAGTGTAACTGAGAATGACATCTACATTATATTCAATCCAGTGACTGCTAAAGGAAGTTTCTCTATTCTGGCTTCCAAATGTATCTTTATTAAGCCTTTGCTTGTGAGGAAGGTTCAGATGAAGTTGCTTCAGTCTGTTTGTACTCGTAGACTAGTAAGAATTGTTACTTAGCGGTATTACTAATGCTTCAACTCAAACTCAAGCTAGGTTTGCTTTGTTCTTTTCTGTATATCAGTCTGCAAGTAATATTTTCACTGTTTAGGAATTAATTATGTTAAAAGTAAATGAGTCTTTCCAAACTTAAAACAATAACTTGCCAGTGTGTACAGGATCAGCACTGTGTGCATATCATAATGGAAATGTTATTAGATGATCCCAAAAAAGAGATTGAGAAAAAGAAATGATGTTTTGCCCTAGGCTACATCTTGACTCAGCATGGCACAGGAGAAGATTTAAGTCTTTGGCATGTCTAACCTTTTTTTTATCCATTGTATATTGCTGGAAGGCATGTCATTTCAGGCAGTGGTTTTATACCTCCAGTTTTAACTATCTACGTAGTTAATAAATAAATAAATAAACTGAGATGTTTATTGTCCATCTTAAGAAGATGAAGGGAAAGACATTAAAAACAAATAGAGACTGCAGAGGAAAGTATTTTTGTTCTTACAGCAACAGCAACAACAACAACACACTTATTTCAAAATGATTTGCTTCTATTACAAATTTGGAGAAAGAATCTGTCAACTGAGGCAGAGTGGTGGTTTCACTTAATTAGTCAGATAAAGTTAAATGCATGAAAATTTGCCCATGCAAATAAAAATGCAGCTGAGTCACATTAGAAGAAGGATATAGCAGATTTGCTAGATTTATTTTGTTTTTGTCAAAAGATTTTATAATTCAGAATTTGTTTATGAATTTTGTTTATGAAATAAAAGCATGTGTTCATATTTTTTACAAATGCTTTTTTTAAAAAACCTAATTATTTTGTTAAGTTACGACTTGCTTAGCTGTGATTTGTTTCCTCAGCCACAGATAATTCATAAACCATAGTTTTCAATCTGAAAGAACCAAGTTGAAACATTAGGCTAAACTCAGTGACAGAGTGTGAGCTCATTCTTTTACTTTGTAGTCTAGCAAAGGCTTTGGATATAGACTTATGATTTATGCCTTAAAGAATATATGAGTATAAAATCTGGCCCAATAGTTCAGAATTTGGCAATGGGTGGGCCTAATAGGCAATGGTGGGATACAAATATGTGAACAACCAATTCTCTGTGTGGATGCTGCTTCCGGAAGTCCATTTTGGGCCTGGGCAACAAAAAATTAGTTACCGGTTCTACCAAACTGGTGCGAACTGGCTGAATCCTACCACTGCTAATAGGGTAGTTGCCTCATGACAGATACTGGGAGTTAACAACAAGATGCTTGAGAAGAGTTGTGCCCAAAGTTTTCAGAATAGTAGAAGATGTTGCTAAATGTTCACTGTCGAATAATAGTTCTAGTGTACAAGGAATGAGTGTGGGGTGACATTCTTGTTTCAGGCAGTTAAACTGTGGGTGCAACATCACAGGAATTACTTCTGTTAAGCTACTGTTCAGCTTTATAAATATGGATTCTACTTCCTATTTTTCTCCGTGTCAAGTGGTAGATGGTAGTGCCAACAATGTTGTACAATTTCCCCTGTGGTTAACAGCTTTGTGTTTTCTTATGCCTAACTCACATATCAGGGTTTTTTTTTTTAAACTCTATGGTCAGGAACATTTTTATATGGAAATAATGTTTAAATCATATTAGTCTTCAGATAATTAACGTTGAAGAGAGAATTGTATTGCAAATAAGCATATTGGTAAATGTTCATGTGGCAAATTAATTCAATCTCTTTAAAATTCATATATAAAAGTGCTCTGACTTCCTTAGATTTTTGCCTTGGTTTGATTTACTTTTTGAGTTCAATAAGATATATTTTAATAAAATTAAGAGAAGGCTTTTTAGTTTACAAGAAATATTTGCCATGCTGATAGAGATAAAGGACAAATTGGAAATGAACATCGCATACACAATTATTTGAGGATATTTTTTTTAAAAAAAAAAAAATTCTCTGTTGGAAACTTCCAGTATCTTACATATTTTGCTTTCTAAAACTATATTTTAAAATTTCCTCTGATGGAGGAAATTTTTTGCAGCTGATTTTGTTTTAATACCACAAAAGAAAAGACTATCTCTTTCCAGAAGGCTTGTTGAATCACCCATATAAACAATTCTTGGCTCCAAACTAACATTTCACCAATGCTGGCCTGGACCTGAAGACTCAGCACAACTGCAAATGATTACATTACTCATCAACTGTTTATCACAAATCTCCTTTCTCTTCCCAGAAATAACTCAAGGATAGGTAAACGTAAGTCTGTATCAGATAATGCACTACTTTCATCAGGGTTTGGTCTGATATTAATTTTGGTAAATTAGCAAAATTATATCCAGCACAAAATTTTCCTGCTGTAGTACTGTAATAAAAGGATACATATTATGTTCAGGATGCTCAAATTCTCTAAGGATGGACAAATGCCACTTATTGGAGACCCTTATGGGACAAATGGACAGCAATTGGATTTTCTTATTGTGGACAGCATATGCCTGTTTATGTATTTGTTTTCCTTGTTTAATTTCCCAGATAAATTAGTTTTCACTGTTTTCTTCTTTTTTTTCCTTAGCATTTTTAAAGGGCGGTGTCATGGAGTGAAAGAGAAAATGCTGACTTACTCTCTAAGAAGGGCACTTACTTTGATGTTCAGTCTTATTTTGTAGATTCTTTTCCAGCAAAAGATATTATCAGGCTATCATTTGTAAAACCATACAATACCTAAACTATTTTTTTGGTCAATCCCTAGCTCCAGTCCCATATATAGTGACATAGCAGCAGAATGATATTTAAAAGTTAGTTTTGCATTCTTTATGTATATCTCCCATTCTCAATTCTGTTTTGCCCTCATAATTTTGCCTCAGCTATATATTTGTGCATGTATCTCTATCTATAATGGTTTTTGGTTCAAGGTTGCAGTGGAAAAATAACACTTAAAAGAGGGTTTTATATTGTATTTATCAGACTCCAATCCAATCCATCTGTTTTACATTCATGAGTTTGAAGTTATTCACTTTTTTCTTACTGTGGGTTTAGGTCAGGGGTTGGCAACCTTGGCTCTTTTATGACTCGTGGACTTCAACTCCCAGAATTCCATGCTGGCTCAGGAATTCTGGGAGTTGAAGTCCATGAGTCATAAAAGAGCCAAGGTTGCCTACCCCTGGTTTAGGTTCACTTACCACTACAGTAGATCTAAACAGTGTAAACCAAGCTCCCCTTCAATGTCTGTGATTTTTTTTCCTTATCTACTTGCAGAGGAAGCTTCCAGTCCTCCTTCTTGGACGTTCAGCAGAGTTACGGCCTGGTGAATTTGTGGTTGCAATTGGAAGCCCATTTTCTCTCCAAAATACAGTGACTACAGGGATTGTTAGCACTACCCAGCGAGGGGGGAAAGAGCTGGGACTTAGAAACTCGGATATGGACTACATCCAAACAGATGCCATTATCAATGTAGGACATGTTTGATAAATATCTTACATTAAATGCATACTATACTAAAAGCATATAGAGCCCCTCCCTTTTCTAGTCTGATTTTCTTTGTCTTTGCTTTTCATTCTAGTCTACAGCACTCTATTTTTTGTGACTTTTTTGTCCTAATAATAACCACTTCTGACTCTGCATAGCTTCTCAAGATTTGATGAACCAGAAGACCTTTATTTGGCCTATCACACTATTTTGTTGGGTCTCTGGTGTCCTGGCATACCTTTCAAATCAGTCACTTTTATTTTATTTTCCTGTTATGTAAGGTTCTTATTACTTGTGGGGTGCTAATCATTTTATGACTATGTTTATGTGTCATAGTTTAAAATGATTTATCATAGAGCAATGTACTGATTATTGGTAATGCTGGAAAGATCTATTAAATCTCAGCTCATCTTTATATTTTGGATTAGTTATTTGGCATAAGGATTTTTGCAAGTCTTCCACATTAATTAATTCCAAAATTATACTGTGTTATCTTCCCATTTATAATGACCCTGTGTTTCCCAACTCTCAGTTTCATGTTTTTACCACATAATATCTGAATGATCATAAGCAAAACATTGTCTTTCGAATAGAAGCAGTACAAGACAATATGTCTGGAAACACTTTATGTTACATTTATTCAATTTAAGTTTAACTATTTACTTCCCTGTAAGAAATGCTGTGAATAAGTAAGTGTTAACACCATTTCTAGAATTCATTAGGTATCAAATATATAATAATAATAATAATAATAATAATAATAATAATAATAATAATAATAATAATAATAATAATAAAGTTGGAAGGGACCTTGGAGGTCATCTAGTCCAACCCTCTGCTCAGGTAGGAAACCCTATACCAGGGGTAGGTAACCTTGATTCTTTTATGACTCATGGACTTCAACTCCCAGAATTCCATAGCCAGCCATGCTGAGGGGAAAAGGGGAGGTTTCCAAGCTGAGCCATGCTGGCTCAGGAATTCTGGGAGTTGAAGTTCATGAGTCATAAAAGAGCTGAGGTTGCCTACCGCTGCCCTATACCATTTCAGACAAATGGCTGTCCAGTTTCTTCTTAAAAACTTCCAGTATTGGCGCATTCCGCTTCTGGAGGCGGATTGTTCCACTGATTAATTGTTCTAACTGTCAGGAAGTTTCTCCTTAGTTCTAGGTTGCTTCTCTCTTTGGTTAGTTTCCACCCGTTGCTTCTTGTCCTGCCTTCAGGAGCTTTGAAAAATAGCTTGACTCCTTCTTCTTTGTGGCAGCCCCTGAGATATTGGAACATTGCTATCATGTCCCCCCTCGTCTTTCTCTTCATTAAACTAGACATACCCAATTCCAGCAACCATTCCTTATATGTTTTAACCTCCAGTCCCCTAATCATCTCTGTTGCTCTTCTCTGTACTCTCTCTAGAGTCTTTTTTACATCGTGGTGACCAAAACTGGATGCAGTATTCCAAGTGTGGCCTTACCAAGGCATTGTAAAGTGGTATTAATACTTCACGTGATCTTGATTCTATCCCTCTGTTAATGCAGCCTAGCGCTGTGTTGGCTTTTTTGGCAGCTGCAGCACACTGCTGGCTCATATTTAAATGATTGTCCACTAGGACTCCGAGATCCCTCTTACAGTTACTACTATTGAGCAAGGTACCCCCTATACTATACCTGTACATTTGGTTTTTCTTGCCTAAATGTAGAACCTTGCTTTTTTCACCATTGAATTTCATTTTGTTAGATAGCGCCCAGTGTTTCAAAACATAAAATATATTTCTAAATCCATGTAAATAAAGATGATTTTCTCTCTACATTTACAGTATGGGAATTCTGGAGGACCTTTGGTGAACCTGGTAAGTATTTTTTTACTTAATACTTTGAGGTTTGGGACTTTATAAAAAATAATACTCTTTTCCATATCCCCCACAAATAATAGATTTTGTATTTATTTAATCACTCTTTTTTGATTCTATGTGTTGCCTTTGTAGTTCAGCATTCAAACTTCTACTATGTACATATTTGAATGTGCATTGATTATTTTCTCCATTTTGTGACTGCAACATCTTCCTGCAAGTTGTCAGGAAAAAGATTAAGGATATTGTCATCCAGTTACACCCAAATTGGAGATAAAGCTAGATTTTATTTTGAAAGCAATATTCAGTTTCTAATTGAAAATCAGTTTAGAACTATAGATGCTGTATGACAAGTAAATCATAGACAAGAGTACTAGTTCAATTTACAGAATAGGAATTGGAGGCTTTGTTTGAAGAGTTTATGCTTACTTAACTATTCACATTACTACAGGATGGGGAAGTGATTGGTATTAATACTCTGAAGGTCACTGCTGGAATCTCCTTTGCAATACCATCAGACAAAATTAAAAAATTCCTTACTGAATCACATGACCGGCAATCCAAAGGTATTGTACTGTGTTATGCAATAGGAAAAACAAAGGTAGATGTCAGTGGGCTTGAATTTTGAAAGATCAGTTTCTAAACTCTGTCCACTTAATAAGCCAGTAAGAAACCATATCACCTCTTCCTTATTAGTGTTGTTTACTTAATGGTATTTATATACCCCAAGCATGGTCATACTATTCTATCCAAACTGGCTGTATTTTATCTGATGATGACTTTGAAAGTCACCATACCATTGCCTGCCTCCCATCAACTAGGGGCACCTGAAATGCAGTAATAATATAATGAAAATAAAGTGCTTATAAAAAAAGAAACAGAATAAGTAGATAGTGGACGGGAGGAAAGAAAATATGAAATCTGTTTGGAACAGAGTAAAGGAAATTATATTACAGACTGCTTCAGTTACATTTGAAAAATTATACATTGCGCAAAAATGAAATAAAAAGGGGCTGGGGATGAGGAAAAATGCATGTAATGTTTACTGCAAAAATAAGGACAAGAAAGCACGATATATTATTGTATAAAGTGTACGTACAGATAGTCTTTGACTTACAAACACAATTGGGACCAGAATTTCTGTTGCTAAGCAAGGTGGTTGTTAAGTAAGTCGCACTCAGTTTTATGATCTTTTTTTGTCACGGTTAAGTAACTTACTGCAACTGTTAAGCGAATCACACAATCTAATGAATCCAGCTTCCCCTATCGACTTTGTCAGAAGCCAGCTGGGAAGGTTACAGATAGACAGGAGGCCAGGAAAGTTGCAACCATCGTGAATAGATGCTGGTTGCGAAGCACCCAAAGTCTGAACACATGACGATGGGGATGTGATAAATCACTTCTCTCAGTGTAGTTGTAACTTCAAATGGTTACTAAACAAATGGTTATAAATTGAGAACTACCTGCAAGATGACACAATCAAGGTGATACAATACATTTCCTAACAGTTAGAACAATTAATCAGTGGAATGACTTGGCTCCAAAAGGTGTGGGTACTCCAGCACTGGAGATTTTTAAGAAGAGATTGGCCAACCTTTTGTCTGAAATGGTATAGGGTTTCCTCCTTGAGCAGGGGTTGGACTAGAACAGGGCTTTTCAACTTTTTCACCCATTGTACCACTTTTAGGATATGGCAATATCCGAGTACCACCAGTCGCCTAGCAAGGTATCAAAAACTTGTTGACCCCCCCCCCAAAAAAGGAAAAAAGTGATGAAGTACAGGTAGTCGTCGACTTACAACAGTTCGCTTAGTGACTGTTCAAAGTTACAACAGCACTGAAAAAAGTGCCCCCCCCCAAGCCACAGCCGAGCAAGACACCTGCCTGCCCACCTGGCGGCGTTCTTCCTCCTGTCTGAGGTTTTCATTGTTGTGAGCATTTATGTTGAGGATTGGCAGCTGGGGTGGGTGGGGGGTGTTTTGCTTTTATTCCCCCATCTGCTGGGTGGTTGCAGCAGGTTTTGATCACTTCATATGATCCTGGGACACTGTGACCATCATAAATATGAATTAGTTGCCAAGCATCTGAATGTAAATCACAAGACCCTGGAGATGCTGCAACATTCCAGCTGATTGGCGCTTTTGGGCTCATCAGAAGCGCCAGGATCAGCACCACTCCAGCTGGCGCTTCTACTGAGTCCTGAGAGCCCTGAAAAAGCATTGATCCTGGCGCTTCCACTGAGCCTTGACAGCCCTGCAGCTCCAACCATCTCTCGCTCAGGCTTGTGCTGTGCTGCCACCGATTCAGCCTATTCCCCTCCCCACTACCACTTTTCTAGGATGGTCGTGTACCACCTGCCAGGTGCCAATGTACCACAGGTGGTACTCGTACCACTGGTTGAAAAGCCCTGGACTAGAAGACCTCCAAGATCCCTTCCAACTCTTTTATTCTGTTAAGTCTGTCAGATCATTGTCAAATCACCATTTGTAGTATGTTATTTTTTTTTTTTTGTTTTGATGTGTTAGATGAGGGGGCAATAATACAAATTAATGTTTTTTTTCCTTCTTTTTGAAACAGGAAAAGCTGTAACTAAGAAAAAATACATTGGCATTCGAATGATGTCTCTTACTCAGGGGTAGGTTTAAAAACCTCAGCAGTTTTCTCTGAGTAGTGGCTGTTTATTAATTCTTTGAGAATGTGGATTCTATGTACCAAACTATAAGTGACCTCCCAGGGTTGGTTAATCTGCTTTAAAACTAAATAGCAAGCTCACTGGGGAGCTTGCTATAGGGTAGAAATATTTTACTACTTCTAAAATGGCTATTTTAGTTTTGGGTTTTTTTTAAATGCAATAGCATTTAAGAATGGGCAATAGGTTTTCTCCCTTTCTGATTTCTCTTGGCCTTTCATCACCTCATCGTTATCTTCTTTGATGCTGTCTGACTAAAATGAAGGTTAGCACAAGGATCCAGACCTTTTTCTTAGAATCCAAGAAAAGGGTGGGGCGTATAATAATGTGTAGAACTTTCATAAACATGAAAGCTCTTATTTCTTTAAATACTGGCTAATATCCAAACTAAATTTAAGTTTTAATTGACTGAAACTGCCTATGCAATCACCTTTTTGGACACTAGAAATTAGGTGAGCATTGAGCATCAAAGTAGGTTATTTCACCTAAAATGGTTTATCATATGATTTTGGTGAATTAAGAAATAGCAACAAAACACTGTATTTAACATTTGTAGTTTAATAAGCAGTTAGAAAAAATTAAGAAGAAACTGTAGAATAAGCTGCTTGAGAGACAGTGGCAATATAATACTTGATTTATTTACGTTTTCTCTGCACCAAAGAGATGGATGAAATAGCCATAACAATCATATTCAAACAAAGGATTTTTTTAATCAATTCAAGAATAGAAAAGTAAAAAAGAAGTCAACTTCCCAAAGTATATTTGTAACTGAGAAATAAAAAAAATGCAGCCATTTCATATCACATAGGGGTGTCATAGCTAGGGATGAATCAGGGATCAAAATAGTTAGTAATTGATAAAGTTTATAATATTTCAATAGGGTATCTTGAAAAGTGGTCCCTCCCATCTGCTTTTTAAAAATCATCTCTTACAGAAGCAGTATATCCGAGCTGCAAAAATCCAGACTACCGCTAGGTGGCACCAAAGAGATATTGAAAGCTCTAACTCTTAGACTATTTCATTATTGAAACCAGATTGTTCACCCAACTATCACAGTGGCACTGACAAATGATGATGTGATGGGAAGCCATAAATGCCATTTCTTGCTTGTTCATACCTGGCAAGCAAATGAATATTAACATAAAAAAAAATGGGAACACTATTGTGAGAATCTGAATATATTGAAGCTCTTGCTTTCAAATCATAAAGCCTGCACTGGCTAAAACAAACCTTATTTAAATATTTCTCATGAGCATTTTAGAAATCTTTCTGAATGGAAGCAGTTATTCTAAAGATGCAGTTATAAGAGAATCTGGATATGAATGCTTCTTCCATTCAGTCTTTCAACCATATGTGTTCTTTATTTTTTATTTTCTGTTTTTTGCTTATTTTTGATCATGATACTGTTTCACGAACCTCCAAATGTTAGGTGAGCAATGGAGTTTGGGGATGGGGGAGTGGTCCATTAAGAGATACTGCTTGGCTATGGGAATTTCAGCATACAAGAACTAGCCTGCCGGTAGAAGAATCGGGATCCTATTCCTTCCCCACCACTAGAGCGGTTGATCCAACTTTGTGCCATTAGCTCAAGGACGGTGTCTGAGAGGAGAAACAGGGAATTTGGTGGTCCCAATAAATGAGAGACAAGTGGGTGAAGCCAAAAGTACCTTTGAATTCTTATGCAAGGAGCTTATAGTAGATCAGGGGTCTTCAAACTTGGCCCTTTTATGACTTGTGGACTTCAATTCCCAGAATTCCTCAGCCAGGCTGTGTGTATATAATGTATGTTTTTACTTGTGGTTCTTATTTGTGTGTAGTGTGCACTGTGGACAGCTCTTAATTTCATTGTGAGATACAGAATGACAATAAAGCTATTCTGTTCTATTCTGTTCTATTCTATTTGAATGGTTATGGTTGTAAAAGAGAATGGGGAAGGTAGGTTGTAAAGGAAATCTGTTCCAACAATGGGTTTGGGTTGGTTGAACATTAGATGATTTCCCAGTTCTTAAAGCAGTGGGAGGGTAGGTTGACCTCAGCAGGAGAATAAAAATAGTTGCCCTCTTGATGTTGTAGAGCAGTGGTTCTCAACCGTTGGGTCGGGACCCCATTTGGGGTCGAATGACCATTTCACGGGGGTCGCCAAACAACGCAGTCTGCCATTTTTTTCCCCCTTTTCCTTAGCTGTGCTATTCCCTTTTATTCTATTGGCTTTTGAAAGCCAGTAGAATAGACTCTCTTGAACAGAGTCTAATTCTATTGGCTTTCAAAAGCCAATAGGAATTGTCCAGGCTGTCTCTGCCCTGCTGAGCCCGCCAAAAGTCCCATTCTGCAAACGGTGCTGCACCAGTTGAGTAGTCCTTGACTTACGACCGGTTGAGTAGTCCTCGACTTACGACCAGTTGGGGGTTGCGGCATTAAAAAGGTTGAGAACCACTGTTGTAGAGAGTCAGATGACTTTGAGGAAAACAGGCAACAATCACTGAAGAATAAAACATTTCTTGTCCTGGGAAACAAGTAATATTCTGAAGTTAAAGTACAATCAGGCTTGCAAGACTGTTATTGTAGTCTATCTTAATACATTATAGTTGTAGTCTTCCTATGGGGTCTTATTCCTGATGTTGTCTATCTCAAAGGGCTAACAGTTGTGTTGATGGTAAGGAGAGAAGGATTCCTATTTGGGGATAGTACAGACTTCCAACCTAATTGTCAGATTTGGGGCTAAATGGCCTGATTGCAGGCTCTCCTGAACTCAGACTCCTGATGCTTAATGCCAGGCCTATTTGTAGCATCATTTTTATCCATAATTCATCTACTACACAAGGCAGTAGATCTGACTCATACAGATCTATCTACTGCACAAGGCAGTAGATCTGACATATATCACCAAACTTTGTCTGGCCTTGTTAGAAATCTACATAGGCATCTTTCGGGTCTTTTACCAACCTCAGGGCCAGGGTCACTGATGTCTGAATAAAGGACATCTTACCTTGGTCAAGAATCCTATGGTATTTCAAAGATAGTTGGGTTTGAGTGCTTATACAGTATATTGGATCAGGGGAGAGAAATTTGGGATCTTGTTGGCGTAGTGATTGTCCTGATCTACGGCAGAATGCCATCCCTGAGTCTAGAAGCTGGTCTTTGGGAGAGATCTAGGACAATTTGCCACAGCCAACTCACCATAGCCAACTCGCTATAGGACAATTCAACACTGTATTAATCATTTCATTCAGTTACTTTTATTATTTTTGACCATGTTTTCGTTGAAATTATTGTAACTCTTGCATTTCTGGATAGACTTTGTTTTATTATTATTGGCCAACAATTATTATTGTTTTATTATTATTGAAATTCATTTAACTTTTGAATTTTGAATTGTCCTGAAGCAAATTGTCCTGTGGTGAGTTGGCCCTGGCAAGTTATCTCGTGGCAAGGTGGGCATAGCAACTTGTCTGTTCTGTTCTGGGACTTCTGGCGGGGTATATTTGATGAAAACCCTGGTTGATGTATTTCCGAGTTCTTTTACATTAAACTGAGAAAATGAAACAAAATTGCTTAGTGTTGCTCAGCAATGAACCTGTAGGCAAAATATTGTTCCATACTGTGAGCAAAATATATTTTTATTTCATGGACAACATTGTTTATTCCAGTAAACAAGTGAAAGATTCGTGACTCTTCTTTTGTTTATGCCTTAATAGATTTGTTAATATTTCAGAAGCTAAATGACTTAATCATTTTTGATGCATATAAACATAGCTGTTCCTTTTATAAATCTTTTGATCATATCCATTATGTTCTTACTAAATAATCAATTAGTATTTGATGTTTTTTCTCTAGTAAAGCTAAAGAACTTAGGGAACGCTATGAAGATTTCCCTGATGTTAATTCTGGAGCCTATATCGTTGAAGTAATTCCAGACACACCAGCTGAGATGTAAGTTAAAGAATTCTTGTTTTGTTTTGGTCCTAACCTTGCAAGGAAAAGCACTTTGATCAGAAAAACCAATAAATACAGAATTAATATGAATAGAATCTTCTGTGAGATATTTGAGAAAACCTGCTAGATCTCCAGTGCTATGATTAAAAAGTGGTTGCCATTTTTTTCATTTTTTCATTAGACATCTGATTCTACAAACCAATGAACCAATTCTAGCTGCTCTTATGATTGCAAAAAGGTTTCAGTGGTAGGACTTAAAATCAGCTGAAGCCCATCATTTTGCATAAAACTTGGCTTCTATTGGCACTGTTTTAGCTCTATTGTCAGGTCACTTGTTATATATGCTTACCCACTTAGTACTTGTGCCATGCCCAGAGAGATTAGAATACAATGCAAAAAAAGTTAAATGCAATTCTATAATACTTTTTGTGTAGCACTATCAAGTGTTTAAAGTGTTATACATGCGTTAACTTGAACAATAACATTATCTTCATCGTACAGATGTGGTAGGAAAGGAAAGAAGGGAGAATGAATGAGTGACTTGTATAAAATCTGGTTCACAGAGTTCTTAGATCTTAGCTGTACCTCGTATCTATTAGCCATTAGTCAGCATCTATTGATGTTTAGAATTTATCAGGATATTGTTGAACATGCACCACATCACTCAGTTTGCAAGAAACAATACTATCTAAAGCTTCTATAAATGGGAAGAGTTAGATAGTACTGTGTAATTTGTGAAATACAAGTCAGAAGTGATCAGAACCTGAAGCATTGAATTTTATTACTTTAATTCAGTTCTGGGGCTGTCTCCCTCCAGAATGATTCTGGGCAGCACCAGAGTTACAACTGTAAATTGCAACTTGAATAAATCAGAACTGGAAGGTGTATATGGGCCATGTAGTTGTCACATGTCACATTAAGGCATATTACTATTCAGGTAATCTCTGTGCTTATTTCTTCAAAGACTTAATTCTTCAAAGAGAAGTGATCATTTCTTCTTCTTTATAGACCTCACCCCTTCAGACATAGCTTGAAAGTATTATCCCAATTTACCCTACAAACATTAATATTTAATGAATGTGTACTCCTTATTAAGCTAATTTTTCTGGAGCTGTCATACCTACAGCAAGGATGAAGTTCCTTCATTTCATACTAATGATCTCTCTGAGCACTGTAAATGGTAGGCTGTCAAGAAATTAATAATTCCTGGAAAATGCCTCTTTTGAAAGAACTGCTTGTGTAAGGTATTTCTCTTTGCATGAGCAAATCTTGTGAAGGCTTTGTGGCTACATAAAATAGCTGTGCTTGAGGGTTGATTCATGTCTCCGCCTGTTCAATGGGTTTGTCTTTCCATAATGCATAGCTGGAGTTTGCCTACAAGACAGGACAAGATGATGTGGGGAAAGAATGCTGAACTCTTTTCATTAGCTTCAGTGCCACCAATGTGAAGGTAGTCAAGCTTGATGGATAGATTTACTCTTGCTCTAGAGGTCTAACTTTAATTTTTCAGTCAGAAAAAAAGTTTGTAAAAGAAGTCCTTGAAGGTTGCAGCCATGTAAGGTTTATTTCAAGGAAATGTTTAAAATGTTCTAAAAAAAGGAAATAGTATCCATTTTATGTCTTAAAAATCATCACTGAAGTACTAGTTTCCTCTCTAGTTTAACAATTAGATATCAGATAAATTAAATAACAATTAGGGTATAGAACAATTATTTTAATTTTAAATCAATGTCGTTATTATGCCAAAATCTGCTTATTTTCCCATTATATATTTATGTGGCTTTTACGCTGCCTTTCAACAATTGACCTCAAGAAGGTTAATGGCAGAAATTAAAAATGAACGTAACTATTTTTAAAACTGCCCTTGGAATCATATAGAGATGAAATCAATATTATCTTTGAAGGAAAAGCATTTCACAATTTGGAATTGATAAAAGATCTTTCCAGTGTGCCTGAGAAAGTGGATCTTTATAAATAGGCCCAGTTTCAAATTTAATTTTTAATCTATCTCATATATAAAATGATAAGATTGTGCATTAGTTAATAGCTGCATTTTGTACCAGTTGGCTCTCCCTGGAATCTGTTACAGGAATCCAAAAGTATATAACAAAATCTCTCCCATTGTTTGTAAATCCTGCGCAGAAACCAGTTATGGACAGGATTTGTTACTGTCTTGTGCTTATGTAGTGAGAGTTGAACCAACAAGGCAATAAAGATAGTATAGGAGGCATAGTAGGAAACAATAAGGTAAAAATAGCATCCTATATATGTTGCATGTAGTACATATAAATTAAAGTGTAGTTATTATACCAGCTCTTTCTTTACTCTGGGCAAAACTTTACAATGAGAGTTACGCATTGATGGATTCTTTATCAAGGGATGCTTTTTCATACTCATTTTGTTTAATGTGACTGGAAAATTCCTTTCTTTTCCCAAAGTAAGCATTACAGAGTAGGATACAGTGTTCCATACTGTATTTGCCAAATAGTAGTTACTTGGATTGAATTATGATTTTCATATCTTGAAGTATCTTGATATAGAAAGCAGTTGGAAGTTTCTTATTAGGCTAATATTTTTTTCTCGTTTATTTCAGAGGAGGCCTGAAAGAAAATGATGTGATTATAAGCATTAATGGACAACCAATAATCTCTGCTAATGATGTCAGTGACATTATCAAAAAGGACAGTACACTCAGTATGGTAGTACGCAGGGGGAATGAGGACATTATTCTAGCAGTTATTCCTGATGAAATTGACCATTAAATAGAGACATGAGCTGGATTTCATGCTACAAGCAGGCACTGGACTGTTTATATTATCTCTGTGCTGGTACAGAAAACAGTAGATTTTGACCAACTATCCAACTATGTTTAGTGATATTGTATTGCTGAATAAAGTAATTTTCCAATAGATAAAATGTTGAAGATGATACTTCAGCTATTCTTACAGTGTGCTTTGTATCTTTTGTGGAGTCCTTGGTGCTCTCTGAGCTACAATTCAAAAGAGACAATAAAAAAGCTAGAAGAGACTAGAACACTAAAAAAGCTAGAAGAGACAATAAAAAAGCTAGAAGAGACTAGCAGCTACACCCAGATAAGCAGGGATTAACATCAGAAAACTAATTAAGCAGAAAATAATATCCTAACCAAGGAATTACCAAGGAGAAAACTTCACCTCCGCTCACACAAGCTGTTGTATAATAAACAAAGAGCAAAGTCCAGAATCAGTGGCACTGATGATGTTATCTAGTCATGTAAGAAACATCTGCAAACAAGCATCCAAGCTAGAGATCACCAAGGACTACACAGTTCAACCTGAGTTCCATATGTTATTTTTTTATATATTTTTACTGGCTATTCCAACTGTTACTACCACCTTAGTGTCCATACGTTCTAATCTACAAGTTAAACCACCTGTAAAACATTACATTGCAGTATTCCATTTTGATTTTTCATGAAGATACAACTGTTAACAATATGAAAATATTTGAAATAAATGACTTGTATGCATGCAAGTCCGAAACCTATGCTGATTTTCTTTTTAAAAAAAAAACTACTGCAATTTCATTAACGCATTTTCACTTATATAATATGTTATTCCTGATAAAATTTATTCCATTTTTTTTTCAGACAAAAGGTATTTTGAAACTGGAATACAGACCATTGATTTTACTATATACTGTGTAATGCACATGCTTATTCTATTAAGCCAATGCTTTTATTCACAATTTTCACATAAAGGAGCACATTACTGGTCCTTGGTAGTTCCATCCAGGATGTACTATTGTGGATATAAGAAATATAATAGGCTTATGGTCTACCCTTTTTTCCCTGTCATTATTGTACAGGATGTTCTCTAATTGTTGACTTTTACATAATATCAAAGGCCACTGATTTGCTTCATCAGCAGTCTAACTTTAATAGATCAATGTGAAGTCAGCTGATGGTTCATTCCAGATCTGTGAGCTATTCATGTGCTTCCTCAGTCAATAATCTTCCAAAGTCAATGTACTGAAATTGGAGAATTGCACAGCTCACATTGACAATTCTTCATACCACTAATCTACAATTTTATAGAAAGACAATTATGTCCCAAGAATCATTTGATTGTGCAAATATATATGAAAACTTTCTGAGAGAAAACCAGGAATTACTAGTCTGTAGCTGAAGATGATTAACTGTTGGAAAGAATTCTGCAGGGGAATATTTAATCAGTCAATACAAAATGACTAAATTAGTAAATTATTTTGGCTTGCTAATGAAAACATTTTTGCAGGAGCTTCCCGATTTTTTTTTTTCCAACTCTTGATAGTCCCTGCTTCAAGCATTCTCTTTATTATCATTTCCAGCTGGGTTCATGACATATAATCTATTTAGGTGTAAAAGGCTCTGTGCCTAGGACCTACAAAATTGTTGGGGCATACAAAGATATTGTTAATAAAAAACAAAAATATGAAAAATAACAATAAACTCAAAACCCATACTGTATGTTCCATCAATAAACATAAAAAATTAATAAAAATGAAAAAATGTATCTAAGAGATTGTTTCTCCTTATTTACCACTTATTTCCTGTGACTTTCTGAAAAATAAAGAACCATGTAATATCTTTATAACTCTGAGGATCTGGACTATTCACACAATAGGAACCCACAAGATCAATGTGTTTAGGCCCAGCAGAGTCTTAATATAGCCCTGGCTGGATTTATATCTTTTCCCAAGAAACATGCAATAATCTAGGGAATGCTGTTTAACATCTGCAAAATTTAGAAATGTACTTGGGAAATATTTAAGGCAAACACATCTGGAATATAGATGTACAATAAAAGTTTACAATTCCTAAAACAAAATCTATAAAAGTTTACAATTCCTAAAACAAAATCTAGAAGGCAGTTGATGTTGAATCCATGAAAATGACAAGACTGGCTAAGGAGTTAGGATGAGGAACTGAAATGAAAAAAATGGGAGAAGTCTCTAACTCTATGTCTCAACCTTGGCAACTTTCAGATATGTGAACTTCAGGTGCAAGAATTTCCCAACCCTAAAGGTAATTTCAAATGTGTGTAAATTTTGCCTCCCTGAATTTGGTTATTAAAAATATTCAATAACCAGATTTAGCCTTAATATTGTTCAGGATGACCCGCTCCCTTCTTAAAGTGGAGGAGGCAGAGGAACCCTTGCAGGGGAGAGCTGAGGAGTTTGTTCAGTTTCTTTTGGACAAAATCGCTCAGATTCAGAGAGACCTGGACTCCGACTGGGCAGTGCCAGCCGAGTTGCCGGGGGCTGGTCTTAGTCATGTTATCTGGAGCGAGTTTGAGCCTGTGACCCCTGATGAAGTGGACCCGTGAGGGCAATGAATGCCGCCACCTGTTTATTGGACCCATGCCCCTCCTGGCTGGTTTCTGCCAGTAGGGAGGTGACACGAGGCTGGCTCCAGGAGATAATCAACGCCTCCTTGATGGATGGATCTTTCCCACAACCTTTAAAGGAAGGGGTGGTGAGGCCCCTCCTCAAGAAGCCTTCCCTGGACCCAGCTGTTTTGAAGAACTTTTGTCCTGTCTCCAACCTCCCCTTTGTGGGGAAGGTTGTAGAGAAGGTGGTGTCCCAACTCTTGCGATCCTTGGATGAAACTAATTATCTGGACACTTTTCAATCTGGTTTCAGGCTCGGCTACAGCACTGAGACTGCTTTGGTCGCACTGACCGATGACCTCTGGCGAGCCCGGGATAGGGGTCATTCCTCTATCCTGGTGCTTCTTGACCTCTCAGCGGCTTTCGATACCATCGACCATGGTATCCTTCTGCGTCGTCTCGGAGAGGTGGGGGTGGGCGGCATCATATTGCGGTGGTTCTACCTCTCTGACAGGTCGCAGTCGGTGTTGGCGGGTGGACAGAGATCGACCCCTAGGCGCCTCGATCATGGGGTGCCTCAGAGCTTGGTCCTGTCCCCCCTCCTTTTTAACATCTACATGAAACCGCTGGGTGAGATCATTCGACGACACGGGGTGAGGTATCATCAGTACGCAGATGATATCCAATTGTATATCTCCACCCCGTGTCCTTTCAGTGAAATGGAGATAAGTTGAGTATTAAGAAAGAACACGTATATCATTAAAAAGGCACAACAAAGAATATTCTGTCTGCATCAACTCAGAAAGCTCAGATTGCCCAAGGATCTGATGATACAGTTTTATAGACAAATTATTGAGTTTGTCATTTGTACCTCTATAACAGTCTGGTTTGGCACAGCAACCAAACAGGACAGGTAACAGATTTCAATGGATAGTTAGGACTGTAGAAAAAACAATTGCAACCAGCCTGTCTTCCAATAAGGATCTGTATACTGCTCAAATCAGAAAGAGGGCTGAGAAAATACCTACAGACATCTCACATCCTGCAAATAATTGTTTCAACTTCTTCCGTCAGGACGCCGCTATAGGCCATTGCATGCCAAAATAGCTAGACACAAAGATAGTTTTTCCCCCTATGCCATCACTCTGCTGAATACCTAATTCCCACAGCACTGTCTTAGGCCTAAAGATATTTACCCATGTAGTAGGCTGTATTGCTATAATCCTTGTCATCTTCTCATCTTTCTCACCTCATCTTTCCTTCTATCATCTCCTATTAGTATCTTATGATGTTTGTATCTTATGATTAATGATTGTAACTATGATTTATGATCTATGACCTATCATTTTGTTGTTTGTATGTACACTGAGAGCTTATGCATCAGAGACAAATTCTTTGTGTGTCCAATCATACTTGGCCAATACAGAATTCTATTGTATACAGTTTTAAATCACCACCATCACCATCTTTCAAAGAACTGCAAGACTATAGATGATGCCCTTCTGAGAAGGGATTATAGCTCTCTGAGAAATTCTTGGACTTTTTTGGACACATTTGAAAGCTGTCAAGGTTGAGAAACACTGGTCTAAATCTTTCAAATGTACCTATGGCAAGGAAGCAGCATTTTCTCTGCTTACAACGCTTAAGCCATCCAGACCATATCCTTGTGACCTGAACCTAAGGCAGAAGAGCTTATGCCCTATTGATAATTTGAACTGTGTGCAAATGTTACTTCCCCTGAGTTTGATCATTACAAAATGTTCAGTAATCAGACTGAATATTATTATATATTAATTTCAACAATATTACAATTAACTTACCTGGCATTCCAGTTGGGTTCAATTCAGAATCTGTCAATGGAGATAAACTGAGTGTTCATAAAGAACATGAATATACAAGTTTAAATCATTATCATCACCACCACCATTATCATTACCTTCACCATCATCTTTAAAGCAACTGCAAGGCCCTCCTAAGAAAGGGCCATAGGTCTGTGATTGAGAAATGTTCACATCAGAAACTTTCTGATGCACCTCTTAACTGATTTAAGTTAAAGATGAGAAAGCAGGTGATCAGTGTAAAACTTCTGCTTGAGTCTCTAGAAAATCCCCGCCAGTCATAATTTATGATGGTGAGATAGATAAAGTGATCTTTAGGACTTTTTTGGACACATTTGAAAGCTAAGGAATTAGCTTTTTTACAGGATCAGTCCTGCATTCCCTGTAAGGAAAAAGACTCTTATCTCTCTAAAAATCCCTGTGAAAGAAATGAACCCAACCCTTTATTACAATATTTTAAACCTCCCATTAATATGAAAAATATGCTTCAGCTAAGATTTGGGGCATGGATTTCTTGGAACAAAGAAAGGAAATTACCAAGAAAGTAGCTCCAACCCAACTAAAGTCAGGCGTTGAGAGTAATGATGCACAGCTTAGTCATAACTATTTATTGTTCCAATAATTTTAATGAAATTTAGTCATTGCTTAGTTGGTTAAGACTTATGTGGTTTAGGTTAAAAAAAAAAAGCCTGGTTAGTTTTTTAGAAGAATCAAAATTCTAGCCTCAATTGATTTAGCAGCAAAGCAAACTTGCTAGGAAGTATACTTTTATTCAAGGCAACATGATGGTTGCAGCTATGGAGAGTTTTCTGAGATCCCAGTTAAAAAGTGTTGTTCAAACTGTTACCACAAATAGCTGCTCTTGGGGCTTAATGTGCAAAACCTGAAAATTGACATTAATTTGAGAAAGATCTGCTGGCAGGAACCTCTATCACCCTCACAGTGTAATTCCACTGATTCCATGTGTTTTGTTCCAAACAATTTCCATAAAGCAAAAAGCTACAAAGAAATCTGTGGATTAGATAGTTGCAAACTAAGGACATTTACTTTAAACAAACCCCTTTTTCTGATCCATCTCTAGAAAACCTCGATAAGATATTAACAGAAGCTCATTGCCAATGAACCAAAGATCAATTTTAAATAAAGAGCAACCAGAATTTTTGATGGAGAAAACAAAAGCTGAATTGCAGCTGAATATATGTGCCAAAGAAAGGAGAGCTACTAGTAATTCGTGATGCTTTTCTTAAAATTAAATCACATTTTAAAAGTTACCAAAAAAGAGAGATTATTTCTGAAGTTATTTTTAAACTTTTTGTATGCACCACTTAGTAAATGAAATTTTGAATTAGTTTCGAGAAGATGCATGATGATCAGCTATGCACTGTGAATAATTTATAATAATAAACGTATAAATTAACCTTGTGAACTCTCAAGCTTCCTCCTTCCGTTATATATTCAAGATGGACGATATTTAATATTTATTTGCTACGTATATGTAGGGATGTGGGTCTATACATATGTTGTTCAGAATATGTTTAGATTTGTGTCATGTATGTGTTTCACTTTGAGAGCAGGCAACTAAATTTCATTTTTGATGTGTGCCATTGTGCCCATAGTATAAAAAATGACAATAAAAGTTATCTTATCTTATTTCTTAATTACAAAATCTACTGAAGGAGAAGGATGATGTGCAAAATATTTCTGATGATTTTTACAAAGCAGAAGAAACTACCTACCTGAGCATATAACAGCAGCATCTTTGTAATTTCCACATGTAGCAGGACGATACTCATACGGGCACGTCATTAAATCGTATTCCGATCCTGAGCAATTTACTTTAGTCATCAAAGGGCCGGTCTCCCCTTTACCAAAAGAGCCATCGCTCAAGGCAGCAAGAGCATAGCCACAGTGCATTTGATTGCAGACAACCTCAGCATCTCTCATGTCCCAATCTTCACCGCAAACCACAGTTCTCCAGTTGGCAAAATAAATGACTTGAATACGACCAGCACATCGGTCTGGACCACCCACCAGCTCCACAAACATCACTTCATTTGGGGGGGGGGGAGAAAAAAGGCAAAAATGATTGCTATCAGCACCGCTGATTATAGATTCATTTTCAAAATTAAGTAAAACCACAAAAAACAGATGTTTTTCATCTGTTCCCCCACCAAAAAAAAAAAAAATAGGGGAATGATGGTAGCTGCAGTATCTGTTTTTAGTCAGTACAGGTAATCCTCGATTTATGACCACAATTTACCCCAAAATTTCTGTTGCTAAGTGAGACAGTTATTAAGTGAACTTTGGCTCATTTTCAGACCTTTCTTGCCACAGTTGTTAAGTGACTCACTGCAGTTGTTAAGTTAATAACATGGTTGATGAATAAATCTGGCTTCCTCACTGACTTTACTCATTAGAAGGTCATAAATATGAGTCAGTTGCCAAGTGTCTGAATTTTGATCCTGTGGCCATGGAGATGCTGCAACAGTTGTAAGTGTGAAAAACGGCCATAAGTCAGTTTTTAAAGTGTCGTAACTTCAAACTGTCACTAAATGAACTGTTGTAAGTCAAGGACTACCTGTAGTAGGGACGGGTATAATCATTTTTGAAAAAAAGAGAATGTCAGTGTCATTTGCAAATTTTCTAAAAAGTTGCAAATAGAAAATAAGTTGCAACCTTTTCAACAGGTTACTTTATTATGTGAAGTCTGGAAAAGATCAGTTATGGGTAGGGAGAGGCGATATGAAAAGATGTCAGCAGAACAGGCAAACTGGGTAGAATCTGGTGGAAGACTAGAGAAGCCGCATGGAGAAGCTGGAAAAGAAGCAGCCAGGGATGAGGAAATGCCAAACAATGTGGGCTGGGCAGATGCAAATAAAAAGGAGGAATGGTGCTAATAAAGGAGAATATTTGTAGCTCAGGGTTGGCGTGAGAGATCCTTGGTGCTCTCTGAGCTGCTTGTTTTCTTGTAGACGTTTCATTATCCAAATTAGGTAACATAATCAGTGCATTGACAATGTTATCTTGTTTAGGTAATGAAATATCTGCAACAAAGCAAGGAAGCTCAGAGAGCACCAAGGACAGTGGTGGGATTCAGCCAGTTCACACCAGTTCAGCAGAACTGGTAGCTAATTTTTTGTTGCCCAGGTCCAGAATGGACTTCCGCAAGCAGCATCCACACAGAGAACCGGTTGTTCACATATTTGAATCCCACTACTGACCAAGGATCCCTCAAAGAGGAATGGGCCAGAAATAGAGTAGCAGGCAAAGCAAAAGAGGCTAGATCAGCTGGGAGGGGGAGGAAAAGAAGACAAGAAGAGAGTATATGTCAGTGGTGGCGAATCTATGGCATGGGTGCCAGAAGCGGCACTCAGAGCCCTGTCTGTGGGCACACGTGCCGTTGCCCCAGCCTCGCCTCCCCCTGTGATCCCTCCTCTCCAGCAGCCCCCCCCCCGAAGGAGAGTCGCCCCTGAGCGTGGCCCACATGGAGCAGCACAGCCAAGGACATGGCAGCCAGGTAGCGTAGACAAGACTCTGCCCTCACACCCCATCGTGCACAGTTGATGCTGCAGGGCGCAGGCAGAGGGCGTGACTGCCATAACGCTGCTGGGCTGCCTAGGTGATTTGCGGCGGGTCCTGGAGGTGGTGAGTGGCCCTGTGGGCAGGCGGGGTGGGGGATGGGGGGCAGAGCAGGGGTGGGGCAGGGTGTGGAGTGGGGATGGGGCACTCAGTCTCTAAAAGGTTCGCTATCACTGGTATACGTGCTCTAGCTCAGAACTGAACTGTGGAGTCCTTGGTGCTCATCCAAGCTCAGAGAGCACCAAAGACTCCAAAGAGAAGACTAGAAAGTCTCAAGGACTGGAGGATTTGTGGGGTTCTCATTGACATTACATCATATGTGATCCAGAGCTCTTGCATTTTGTACTAAATACAGTTTTATGTTTTTAACGTGAAACTCTAATATTTAATAACTCTTTAAAAACTCTTGCATTTCATGCATGCTACTTTAAAGAGATATATAGTTTAACAGGGATGAGGTATTGTTCTCCCAGCTGCTTTTAAGAAATAGTAACAAGTTTTGTCAAGTTATAAATCCATAGTAGCATACTCTTTAGAGCAGGTATGTCAAACTGCCGGCCCATGGGCTGGATGCATCATACTGAGACCGCACCCACCTCATTGCTGACAATGGCAAAAAAGTCACGATATGTCACGACACATTACGTGACGTTGCGAGTTTGACACCGCTGCTTTAGAGAATAGAGAGTCACAATAATTAGAAAAAAAGTAACATTACAGGAAGAGGTCACAAGTAGCTTACTTCCAATCTTTACCTGAATGAATTAACTGAACTAAAATGTTAATTGCATTCAGAGATGCTGAACTCTGTACATTCACAGTTTACTGAAACATTTAAAGAAACTCATTCCATGCAAAATATTTTAAAAGCTAGTGGGTTTTGTTTAAAAGAAAAGACCTAAACACAGACTTACCATCACCTTCAGTTCCAGCTGGAAGATATAATAAAATGTGATTATTAACATCTGTAATCTATTTACATCTACATCTATAGATAACACACACACACAAATAAAACATTTTCCCTTTTCACCTCACTAAAGATCAACATCTTTAGATCTTGTCAGGTAACCAAATATTTAACAACATCACATGATTAAGGTTGCACAATGTTCACTAAAAAAACCTAAAACAGCTGGAGAATTGCAAGGGTAAAAGGTCAGGCAAATACTGAAATTTTTAGAATTTTGTTTAAATTCCGGGTCTTAGTTTTCTATAATTATATTGATCTAAATAGGACTTTTTTTCTGCTGAATCACTACATCTGTTGCTGCTAAACCATAACTCTTTTCTTTTCAAATAATTATTGTAAATGGTATGGCAGGCTACTATCTTTCCTCTGGAAGAATTGGGTAAAATTCATCCTTTTTTGTTACATAAAAATTAGATTTTGTTTCAGAAGTTGAAAGTAACAGAATAACAGAGTTGGAAAGGAACTTGGAGGTCTTATAATCCAACCCCCTGCTCAATCAGGAAACCCTACACCATTTCAGATAAATAATTGTCTCATCTCTTTTTAAAAACCTCCTGTGTTGGAGTATCCACATCTTCCGGAGGCAAACTGTTCTATTGATTAATTGTCTAACTTTAGGAAATTTCTCCTTAGTTCTGGGTTGGTTCTCTCCTTGATTAGTTTCCATCCATTGCTTCTTGTTCTGCCTTCAGTTGACCCCTCTTCTTTGTGGCAGCCCCTTAGATCAGAGGTCCCCAACCTTTTGGGCACCAGGGACCAGTTCCGTGGAGAGAGGTTTTTCTGTGGACCAGAGGGGCCATGGTTTTGGGTGCTGCCTGCATCCCATGGATGGGGCTTTGCTTGTTTGTGTGGACCGGTTGCTGGCAATCTGGTACTGGTCCATGGACCAGGGATTGGGGACCCCTGCCTTAGATATTGGAACATTGCTATCATATCATCTCTAGTCCTTATTTTTATTTAACTAGAGATACCCAATTCTTGCAACTGTTCTTCATATGCTTTAGCCTCCAACCCCCTAATCTTCTTTGTTGCGCTTCTCTGCAATCTTTCTAGAGTCTCAACAGCTTTTTTTTATATCATGACAACCAAAACTGGATGCAATAGTCCAAGTGCTGTCATACCAAGGCATTACAAAGTGGTACTAACAGTTCCGGTAATCTTGATTCTATCCCTTTGTTAATGCAGCGTAGGACTGTGTTGGGTTTTTGGCAGCTGCAGCACACTGCTGGCTCATATTTAAGAATGGACACTCTTAGAGTATCCACTAGCACTCTAAGATCCCTCTCGTAGCTATTGAGCCTATACCTGTGCATTTGATTTTTCTTGCCTAAATGGAGAACGTTACTTTTCTCATCACTGAATTTCATTTTGTTAGATAGTGTTCAAGTCTGTCAAGATCCTTCTGTATCTTGAGCTTATCTTCTGGCATATTGGCTATTCCTGCCAGCTTGGTATCAAATTTGATGAGTTCCCTTTCTAGCCCCACTGCATACTTCCCTCCATGTATAGAAGCAGTTCCATTAAGGACTACATGTTGAGTATGATTAATCAGCCACTTACAAGTCCATTTGGTAGTGATGCTTCCTAACCCACATTTTTCTAACTTAGCAAGTAGTAGTTTATAGTCTATTTATCACACCTTACTGAAGTCCAAATAAATGATATCCACAGGTCAAAGAATGCAATAAGTTTTGTCTGGCATATTTGTTTTTGCCAAACCCATTCTGGGTTTGTCATCAGACTCTATCAATGGCATTTTTATTTCATGTTTGTTTGCCTTCTCCATTTGGTTCTGAGCAATATACTTTGACTTTTGAAAGTAGACCAGTCTTACCTGAATACACAATTTCAGAATTTTGAATTAACCATCTTCATAGTAATATCTACTAATGGTTCTATTCATAATCTTCCCTAAAAACTATAATTATAAAATTTATAGTGGTCTTATTTCTATTGAACATGCAAAATCACAAGCATTCAAAAATTAATACCAAACTCCATACTGTGAATCAGTAATACTATTATTATGAAGACATTTAATGTAAAAAATATTCCCAAAGTAGCCCTTTGCAACCTATTTCCCACTAGTAGTGATGAAATCCCCCAAAATTGGAAGATACCAGCTTTGATAAGATGCTCCATAGTTTGGTACATTATTATTATGCAAGAATATAGACAAATATTCATAAGCATGAAAGAGAAGACTTACCTGGTTTATACTTTTCACCTGTAAGAAAATAATTTTCAAAAAGTTAAAGTACTAATAATTAATTAATCATTACCATATGGATGTTATTTTTGTTTGCAGTATTTTAAACTTGTTTATTTTACGATCTTTGTTTAAGATACTATTTAGCACAGATAGTAAACTGAACTGAAGGAAACAAGACAAGTAAGAAAAAAAATTACAGGTGATTCTTGATTAATAACTGCCTTGTTCAGTGACCACTTGAATTCTCATGGCACTGGTCCTCAAATGTATCACAACATCCCTGCAGTCACATGATGACAATATGGGTGGATCTCAATTGGCATGATTTACAATGGTCGCAGTGTCCCACAATCACATGACTAACATTTGTGACTTTCACAGTCAGCTTCTGACAAGCAAAATCAATGGGGAAGCTTACAGTAAGTTGCAAGTCATGATTAAAAGATGTTGTACTTAACAACCACAGATGATTCTCTTAATTACTGAAGCAGAGCTGACGTTATAAGCTGGGCACAGTCATGTAATGTTTCATTTAGTGACCACATTGTTTAGAATCAGAGTTGCTAGTTCCTCTTGTGGTGATTAAGTGATGCCTATTCTGAACCTATTTAGAATGGCCTTCAAATTCAGATCAAATCCAGCACTATGCAAATTGAGCATATCATGATTGCTTTTGAGGTTTTAACCTTAACGATATTAGTGTTTGAGACTCTTCTCCAGTTTATTTCTAGATTGTATAGCAATTGAAATATGATATTGGAGCTCTGGAGTAGCATTGTTCTACATAGCTTAGCAGAACAATTAAGAATGACCATTTTATCTAATAAGATTTCATCTTCCTTAGAATTTAATCAGTAATTGCACAAGCAATATTTGAACTGCTGCCTTTACAAGGGAGCAATTGATAATACCAGAAATTCTCAAATAAGCTCCTGCCTTTCTTAGAGGACTGCTAACAGATAAACTATCACAATTTCTCAAATGATTCTCTCTTTCCATATGTTCATAGTGATCTAAATATTAACAGAATGTCATGGGAACTATCACAAAAAAGACAACAATCAGTAGACCACGATGTCCAACTCGCCACATCACATGATGTGTTGCAACATATCGTGACTTTTTTTTTGCATTGTGGGCTGGCAGTTTGCCCCTGCAGTAGATCATACAGTATGCAACAAGGAATATGTGAAAGGGCCTTTCAGGATTTGCCTTCAAGTACTTGTTCTGTTTCTTCTTTCTATTGCAGACTCATAGTTCGTCTTAAATGATTAATTAAAAGTATCAGTAAAAAGGTCACACAGACATTTGATGAGACCCACATTTAGCATGCGTTAGTGCAACATCTGTTAAGACACTACTAATAGTTTATGCTGGGATTCAATTTACAACAGCAATTGCCGTCCTAAATGATACAGTCACACTTTATGACCACTTGACTTTGTGACAGAAATTCTGGTCTCAATAGCCATTGTAAGTGAAGAATTACTTGCAGTAGTTTGATCACCTGGAAAATTCAAGTGAATAATCTCCTTCTCTGTCATGGATCCCAACCTCTGAAACAGAATAGATAAGGACAGACATCTCTCTTCTAGGGTTCAGAAAAACTTTTAAAACCTGGCTTTGGTCCCAAGCCTGGACTTGGTGTATCAGTATTATTGTGTTTTTTTGTTGGATTTGTGTTATTTACAAGTTAGTTTTACTTTAGGCTGTCCGTTTGATTTGATATTTTAAATTTTATGGATTTCCCAGTTTTGTATGCTGCTCAAAGTCTATTGGATTTGGGCAACTAATATGACAAGAAATGACAAGAGACAATAAAATTAATACCTGTAGTAAGGGAACCATCTTATCTTACAAGTGCCTCTACAGTACTATTTAGTGAATAACCATATTGATTCCACATTTCCAGTAAAAATCAAGACTTGAGGAGTTCATACCTGTGCAGAGAACTGTAGCATCTTGTTGATGATTGCAGTTATGCACACCCCACCCAGGGTTCTTACAACTCCACAGAAAGAATTCATCTCCATTGCATTGGACGTCACTTAGGACAATTTCGCCGGAGCCTGAGCCAAACTTAGGCCAGGGTAGGGTTGCTACAGCGTCCCCACATCCTAGCTGTTGGCAAACGACCTGAGCATCTTTCATATCCCAGTTGTTGCCACAGACAGTTCCCCAGGCTCCTTCATAATACACTTCCACACGTCCCTCACAATAGTTGTACGTGCCTGCCAGTCTGAGAGACAATCCTATGCAAGACCAAAGTGAACAGATTAATATTGTTTACAGTTGGATGTGAATGAAATACAATAGGTTTAGTTCTTTCATTTCACAGAAAAGACTTCCCTGATTGGGGGGAGGGGTGTATCTATCAAATATTCTGTAAATTTTGGCAATTATAGTGCCAACATCTGGAAAACTATCATATAAGCAGCCTGAGACTGAAACTTTCTTCTAACAGTACTTTAATCCAAAGTGAGTTTTAAATGGCAGTATAGTAGATATTCATATGTATTTATTTTTAAGGAAGGGTGGTAGAAAACACAGTGAAAATTCTGACCACTTAAGTACTTCTTTTTCCCAAGCTATCCTGGAAGTGCCTTACCTTTATTTTGCTTTATTTTATGTAACAAATATCTAAATTTCATATCTAATTCTAACTCTCCTGTTTTACAATTGCACAGTTCTATTCCACATATCTTTGCATACATTTCCGATCAACAGTAATGTTTTGCAAGAGATTTACTAAAATATAATGCATTTTTGTATGTCATTCACATTATTATACATGCTTTTTAATCTGTGCTTTCTTAACATAAACATTTGATGGACATGACAGATAGGAGACAAATATTGCATTGCCAGTCAATTTTCACAATTCAATTTTGAAGAGGTATATTAGATTAAAAATACAAAATTATAGCAATTATCATTAAAATGGGCACCAGACTAATTTCTTCCCTGTTACCTAAATGAGAATATTCCCATGATTGGTTATGATTATATGTGGTTGGGGATGTGATATAAAAGGAAGTTGTGTTTTTCAAAGGGACATTTTTGCACATAAATACATTTTCCCTACATGCTCAGTTTGCTTTATGAAAGATAAGAAGGTATGAAACATAAGATTCATATTTGCAAAGATAAAAGATATTATTTTTTTTTAATTTAGTTAGTCTGACATTCATCAGACTAACCTAGTGTTGAATATGGTTGCACTAACCTGGTGTTGGAGGTATCATCGGGGTAGATAGAGCTGGCACTAAATTGTGATTAAAGAAGCAGATTATTACAATGATTATCACCATCATTGCTGTTATGATAATAATTTCCAAATGCATACAAAACCCTTTGATCATACTGTACAAAGAATACTGAATTGATACACAGGAACGTTGACTGAAACCCTCAAAATCTAGTTTGCCCAATATTACTGGTGGCATAAGGCATAGGTCCACAAGGGGGAGCTAAATCTTTACATTTAGTAACCTGTCCAATCTAAAAATGGATAGCAATCCATTATTATACTAATCTAATGTTAGGGCTTCTTGACATATTTATAGTTGTTCTAAAAGTGGGTCATTAGAAGCAAAACAAAAAAAAAACCCTACTGAAAACCAACACCCACCGTTAGATTTCATTTTGTCTTTGCAGAACTAGAAGTTTATATTTGTAAAGCTACTACATCCAGGTGAAAAAATATCGGGCCAACTCCAAGATGGCAATTAAAATATACAGAAACCTCTCATTCCTTGCTGCCATCACGTGGCTACATGAATTTTCCCAGATCAGATATAGTAGTCCGAAATAAATACAACTGGGTTTATTCATTTTGGATTGCAGTTTGATTTCCATGTTTTAAAAAAACCCAATTGAATCAGATGGAAATAAATATCTTTTACTGATAAATAAGGTTTGTAAGCCAATTATTATGAAAAAAAAATTCAGCTCAACACTATTTTTGATTTGTCACTCTTAACAGGGGCTCCTGTCCAAAAGCAATCCCCAAATTTCAGCTGTGATATTTAATAGTACTTTTATATTTCTAAGCACTTCAATATGTACAAAAAGATAACGTTGGATTTATCATGAGTGAAGTTGAAGGATTAATTTTGTAATACCCCAGATCTGGGTACTCTTATAATCTCCCTTATAATTCAAGCGAGATTGAGATACTGAGTCACGTTCTGTTATGTTGCTCAATTGTTATATTATTGATTTTGATTTGCAAACCAAGTGTACCTCATATATTCTATACTTTTCATTTTATTGGCAGATGCAGATACAGCTCTTCTGGGTGGCTAAATATTGTGCCATAGCTTATTCTGAACTAATCAATGAAAAAGTCAAGTTTTCACTGATTGATTGATTGCCTACACAGTCTGGAACTTCCTTCCTTCCTTCCTTCCTTCCTTCCTTCCTTCCTTCCTTCCTTCCTTCCTTCCTTCCTTCCTTCCCACAAGTGGTGATTCCCAAATCATCACTCAGTCAATCACAAGCAAAATTGATGAGATGCTATTCTCTAGTCTAGATGAGAATGCAGCTGACTGAATACTAATGCATTCTAAAGAAACCTTTATATGTATATATAAAACATGATGTTATAAAGAAGAAAAGTAGTCAAAATGTTTAAGAGGTATATTTTCTTTCTAAAATATCTTCTTTCTTCTGGGATGGATGAAGGAACTCTTGTTCATGCATTCCATTCCTGCAGTCTGGAACAGTGGAGCTTAGATATAGATTTGATACTACATTTTACTCTGTATGACAAGGTGGCTGGGCACTACTAATTTTGAGAATCTGTATTATAAAAGAAATTAATCCACTCCCACCTAGCCACTCTAATTTTGGCATCTATGCTTTTGTTTGAAAAGCTACAACTGCATCTGGAACTCAGTCATTTGAAAGCATTTTTAATCACTTTTACTTGTCATTAAGCTAATAAAAATAATGAGAATTAACTCCTTTGTATTGCATATATAAACAGAACAATAGCAGGAGGGAAAGACACCAATCACCCCCTTTCTTCTTGCTCCCTTTTTTCTCTTCTGCAAACCTATAGTTCAGGGATGTCAAACTGCTGGCTCGCGGGCTGGATGGGTCATGCTGAAACCATGCCCACCCCACTGCTAGCAATGGAAAAAAATCACAATACATCGCAACATGTCATATGACATTGCGAGTTTTTCACCCTGCTATAGTTCCTCAAATCTGCTTGTCCCAATTAAAAACAACTTGGGATCTCTGCTATCATGCCACTGTTATGGGTATCTTAAAAGATGATGTAGTAAAAGTGCTACACTCAATTTGCCAGCAAATTTGGAAAACTCAACAGTGGCCACAGGATTGGAAAAGGTCAGTTTCTATCCCAATTCCAAAGAAAGGCAATGCCAAAGAATGTTCAAACTATTGTACTCATTTCACATGCAAGTAAAGTTATGCTTAAAATCCTACAAGCTAGACTCCAGTAGTATGTGGATCAAGAACTTCCAGAAGTACAGGCAGGATTTCGAAGAGGCAGAGGAACTAGAGATCAAATTTCCAACACACGCTAGATCATGGAGAAAGCTAGGGAGTTCCAGAAAAACATCTACTTCTGCTTCATTGACTATGCTAAAGCCTTTGATTGTGTGGATCATAACAAATTGTGGCAAGTTCTTAAAGAGATGGGAGTACCAGACCATCTTATTTGTCTCTTGAGAAACCTATATGTGGGTCAAGAAGCAACAGTGAGAACTGGACACGGAGCCACTGATTGGTTCAAAATTGGGAAAGGAGTCTGGCAAGGCTTATTCTGTCACCCTGGCTATTTAACTTATATGCAGAAAGGCAGGGCTAGATGAATCAAAAGTTGGAATTAAGATTGCCGGAAGAAATATCCCCAATCTAAGATATGCAGATGATACCACTAATGGCAGAAAGTGAAGAGGAACTAAAGAGCCTCTTGATGCGGGTGAAGAAGGAGAGTGCAAAAGTTGGCTTGAAACTCAACATTAGAAAACCAAGATCATGGCATCCGACCCTCTCAATTCCTGGCAAATAGATGGGGAAGAAATGGAGGTAGTGATAGATTTTATCTTCCTGGGCTCCAAGATCACCACAGATGGGGACTGCAGCCAAGAAATTAAAAGACGCTTGCTCCTGGGGAGGAAAGCTATGGCAAATCTAGACAGCATACTAAAAAGCAGAGATATCACCCTGCCAACAAAAGTATGTATAGTCAAGGCCATGGTTTTCTCAGTTAAAATGTATGGCTGTGAAAGTTGGACCATAAGAAAGTCTGAGCGCAAAAGAATTGAGGCCTTCAAACTATGGTGTTGGAGAAGACTCCTGTGAGTCCCCTGGACTGCAAGGCAATCAAACCGGTCAGTCCTAGAGGAGATCAACCTTGACTGCTCTTTAGAAGGCCAGATCCTCAAGTTGAAATTAGAAGGAAGGACTCACTGGAGAAGGGCCTAATGCTGGAAAAGATTGAGGGCAATAGAAGAAGGGGATGATAGAGAATGAGGTGGTTGGATGGAGTCACTGAAGCAGTAGGCGTGAGCTTAAATAGACTCCAGAAGATGGTAGAGGACAGGAAAGCCTGGAGGAACATTGTCCATGGGGTCATGATGGGTCGGACACGACTTCACAACTAACAACAACAATAACAATGCAAAGGATTTAACATCAACATGTGGGTCCTCTTCTTAAATTCAAAGTCTTAAAAAAGTACTTAGTGCCACTATTAAATAATAAAGTAATAAAACGGTTAGCCTTTGTGCAATCATGTCAGGATTATCATTGGCAGTTAAATCTACTCTTCCCTCCTACTGAGGATCACTTCATCCTAATCTTTGTCCTTGGAAAATTTTCTACCTTGCAGAGTTCAATATAGATATATAGTAGGCATGTTACCTGAGCCAACGTCCTGAAGTATTTCTGTAATTAACATTAAAAATAGTGTGGGTTCCATGGCAGTATACATCCTCCTGGGTCTTTTCCTTTTGTATAAAGTATGTTTGCGTTCTTATATATATATTGAATTTTCAAGGGAGTGGCTTACTGTTTCTTTTGGCAATAGTAAAACGAAAAATAAATGAGGAGATATGTTAAAACTCTCCCTCTCCCTCTCTCTGTCTCTCTCTCTCTCTCTCTCTCTCTCTCTCTCACCGAACAACTCATTTTTTCAAAAGTTTTGCTTCCTGAAAATCGTTTGGTGATTATGATAAACCCCTTCCAAATGAATGCAAATATAATTTCAGAATGACTGTACCTCATAGGAATCTTGAGAAATATGAAATTAACTTTTGGTGACTATAATACATTTAATGGCATTAATGCTTCTGACAGGTGCATGAGTTTCCCAGAGCTAAAAGTGTTTTGTTGATGCTTTCCATTTGCACTCAGTGTCTGAAGCATCTCATTGCAGTGTTTGATAATAATCAGCCAGCACTGTTGGATTCCAAAATAGACCCTTTTCTAGTGGATCATGCTCATAACTCATGACTGTAAACAAACTGTCAATGTCAGCTCAAAAATTAAAGTTGTCAGTCTGTATAAAGAAATTTATTAAATCATTCTGGTGACTTTGCAGAAATAGAAGATTTTTATAAAACGATAGTTTAAATTACAGGTTGTTTTTGTGATTAGCAGCCAAACATCTACAAGATACCTCCAAAAGTAAAATATTTGTTGTCCAGTGATTAGCATAGTATAGGAGAGTTTGAATAATCAGCATTATAAAACTAGTTTAATATTGGCTTCCCTGGCTATATCCTTTAGTTGAGACAAAAGCTAAAAACTCATTTCTGTGCAAACAAAAATACAGAACTTTATCTTAAAACAATCTTTTCTAGATGTGTGCTTGCTAGTATCGAACACAAGGAAACCTACTGTTTTATGTTCATTTAGAAACAAACAATTTATCATAAATGCAGTATCAGCTAATGACCACAGACATAACAATTAGACACATAAAAAGTTACAGACGTACTTCACTGTAACCCTGTGTATATGCTTTAATGTTCTTCCTTCTTTGAGGTGCACTAAGTACTGTTAGGCAAGATTTGTACTCTGTGAGGTTCAGAGAATAGAGTTCATCCTAAGAACATTTATGCTTACTCTGCCCTACCTGAAGTTATAGATTAATTGAGATGATCAGTGACTGCTTGTGTGGCTCATTCCATTGTATCACTGGAAGGCTAAGATCAAGAGAAATAACTAGAAGCTTGAGTCATCTTTGGGTAGCTCAACTATTGCTTTGGGTAGCTCAACTATTAT